ATATAAGTCTAAGTGCTATTGCTACCTTCCTGCTTTTCCCATTTCCTGCCTGCCTGCCTTCTAAAGGTTGACTCAGCCTTCCGTCCTTCCGAGGTGGGTAAAATGAGGACCCAGATTGTTGGGAGCAAATAGGCTGACTCTGTAAACCGCTTAGAGAGGTCTGGAAAGCACCATTTAGCAGGATATAAGTCTAAGGGCTATGGCTAAGTGCTATTTGGCCAATGGCAGGAGGCACGCATTCTCTGCTGTGGCATCTGCCTTACGGAAGATTCTCTCCCTCTCTCGTCTGCCTGGGGAATTCTGGGAGTTGAAGTCCACGTCTTAAAGTGGTCAAGATGGAGAAACACTGATCGACACCGTTACATGTGGTGAAGCTGTCAGGGAACCCCAAGAGGAAGGGCGGACGGAGACTTACGACCACCATGTCGTCCACGCTCTCCTCTTCTTCGTAGGGTTTGTACTCCGGTTTCTTCTTGCGCAGCTCCACGTTCTTTTTGGCCTTCTCCCTATCCACCATGTTGACGTTCACCAGCACATCGCCACCTTCCTCCTCCAAGACGCCTAAAGGGGCACCAGGGATTCAGCTGGAGGAGAGCCTTCACGGGAGAACCCTGCTCCTCCCCGGGGGACTGGCACCCAAAACCAGGGGCCACACCTGTGGGGTCAGCTCTGGAGGGAAGTGGGGGGGGGGGGGGGCTCCACCTTTGTCTTTGAGGGTCAGGACCACCGTCTGTCCTTCCTGGAACGAATCGATGGTGTGCTCCACAGTCAGGCCTTTGAGGTCCTGGGCACTGTAGCCCACCTGTTGGGAGCCAGAGAGCAGAAACAGGCATCAGAAGAGGCAGGGAAGGTGTGGAGGGAAACCCCCAGCTTGGGGAAGGCAAGAAACGGTGGTGGCAAATCAAGGAGCTGCCCGAAAAGATGCAAGGATTATTATTTTTTAATTTTATCGCTATGCATGGATAGAGTCTTTGTTGGCCAAGTGCGACTGGACACACAAGGAATCGGTCTCTGGTGCATAAGCTCTCAGTGTGCACACAAACAACAAAGTGATAAATCACAAGATTTCAATAGGAGAAGGGATTGGGAAAGAGGAGGAGGATAATTGCAATACAGCCCTACTACACGAGTAAACATCCTTAGGCCTAGGACAGTGCTGTGGGAATTAGGTGTATCAATCGGCAGAGTGATGGCCCATGGGAAAAAGTGTCTTTGTGTCTTGTTGTTGTGTGCTGACTCCGGAGCCTTCGGAGTCTGGCAGCAGCGAGGCAGAGGAACAGAGGGAGCCTGTTCCCAGTGCGCGCGTGCACAGAGCTGCCAGAAGAGCAGGGGCAACTCGGGAGAAAGGCTGGGACGTGATTGGCCCCTCCCATAAGACATAAAGGAGGAGCAAAGGGACGTGAGCCTTTGCAGGAAGCAACTTTGTTCGTACTGGTCGGTTTGAAACCTGAAGCTCTGTGTTGAATTTGTGCTCCGTTTTGGCCTCGTATAACTAATCGGTTGGCAGCCTTTCAAGGAAGATAAAGGTGGGTGCTGATCAGACTTATCCCGAAGGACTTTGGCAGACTTCTGTGGGACTATTTACAAATTGTTTGAGACTTATTATGGGCTGTGAATGACTATAATTCACAGCCGTTGAAATAAAACCAAAAGATTTGTGCGACTAACGTGTGTTTGTTGATGCCTCAGGAAGCCTTGGTCAAAACACTTGTATCCCACCTTAAATTATTTTTTACAAATGACTCAAGGTAGCGAATCTATCCAACGCTCCTTCCTGTTTGCCCCACAACAACCCTGCAAGGTGGGCTGGGCCGAAAGAGAGGTTCTTCACGCCTGTCAGGTGGATTGTAAATGCCAATTATGAAGCCTCCTGTTTAAGGCACATCTGGAATGGCTCAAGCTGTCCTCTATTTGTCCCTTTGATCTAGAGAGTGGACAGCAAGAATGAGAAAACCCGCGAGTGAATTTTCTTTGCAGGGCGGAGGCGAGAAGGGCCTCTGCCAACTGGAAAGCCAAAGGCAATCCTCTCCTCACGCCCAAAATTCAGGCCGGATTTTGGCTTGCAAGTTGGACCACACTTGACCCGACTCGCGTTTACAGTGCTCGTGTCACCAGGGTCATTAAGCGAATCATGTTGTCGTTAACCAAAAAGATTACAAACTGCAGACCTGAAACCAGTTGTAAACATGAGAACACTTGCCAGGTACCCCAAAATATGATCACACAACCACAAGGGCCCTGTGTGTGTAGGGCAGAGGCCCCCAAACTTGGCAACTTTAAGACTTGTGGACTTCAGCTCCCAGAATTCTCCAGCCAGCAGAGCTGGCTGGAGAATTCTGAGAGTTGAAGTCCACAAGTCTTAAAGTTGCCAAGTTTAGAGACCTCTGGTGTAGGGTGTGTGTGTGTGAGAGAGAGTTATCACTTCGAGGAAGGGTTGCAAGTAACTTTGGGGAGGTCCGTCACAACTTTGAACCGTCGTTAAGCGACCATTCGTTCTTCTTACCTTCTTCTTCTGCCCGAATTCCTCCTCCACGAGGCTGCTGATGCCAAATTCCTGGTCCATCTCCTCCAAGAGCTTGGCCTGTTTGAGGAACGGAGGAGCGCAAAACGTGAGCGACAAGGAGGGGCTGCTCCGAACCTCCCGAGGGAGGCGTTACAGACCAGAGAATCCTCGACTTACGGATGACAGTTAGGACCGGGACATCGGTCCCTCGTGACATACCGGCTGCCCCAGCTTGGCCAGTTAGAAAAGGGAGCCTTCGGAGGCCATGGTTTGCCCAAAGTGCCCTGAGCTAAAGCCAAGCGGGCGCAGCAGAAGCAAAGCCAGATCTAAGGTTTTTGCGTGCAAAGCGTCAGGTTAACTTTTCCCTCGTTCCCACACCGTCTTCTGCCCGTTCCTGTCTTCCGAGGGCTTTTGGGTTTTGCGTTTCACAATGCAACCCTGGAACGGCCAGCTCTCACGGGTGGTCCGATGCACAGTTTCTATTCCTCTTGTGATGACCCGGGGCACGACACAAAAATAACCAAGTCACAAAAAATAGAAGAAAGTCCCTTTAATGCCTCCAACTTGGCCCCAATGCCCAATGGTCCTCGGCTGGATATCAAAACCCTTAAAGAAAACAGTTTACGGAGGCAGTAAATGAAGCCTGCACCCAAAGTAAAGTTAATTCGAAATAAATAAAAAAAAAACCAACACAAACCACACTGAAGGAATTAATACAGCAGGCCAGGAGGATTCATTGCAGACTTCTACCAGATAACACAGCAACCACAGTTGGGAGTTGCTGGATAAGCTCCGACAACTTGCAGACTTCCAAAAGTTAACTAGGCACACACAGTTGGGAGGACGCCAAAACCCAGATAAGCCTTGACAAAGATAACGCACGCTTCGCTTCCAGCAACTTTGCCATGCGCAGTTTGCCTTTTTAAACAGCCTTCCCAGCTGCAGCCCATGGAGGGGATCAGGGCCCTTTCCTCCCCTGTAAACCACGTTGCTTCCTTATCCGTTGCTTCCTTATCCGTTCCTCCCTGCGTGCCCGAGGATAAAGAAGAGGTGGGCCTGGGTCTTCCTCTGAATGCCCAGCCGGCCTGGGCCCTTCCTCAGTTTCCTCCACAGCCACCGGAGCCCCACTCCCTGTCAGCTGTTCCACCTCTCCCTCGGAATCAGATTTCTAACTGGGGCATGACAGCGGTGCTGCAGGCTACTTCTGCTGCCTGCCGGCTGCCTGCAATTTGGCAGATTGAATCTCACCAGGTTCCAGGTTGACTCAAGCTTTCCGTCCTTCCGAGGTGGGTAAATGAGGACCCAGATTGTTGGGTGCAAATAGGCTGCCTCTGTAAACTGCTTAGAGAGGGCTGGAAAGCACCATTTAGCAGGATATAAGTCTAAGGGCTATGGCTATGGCCTGTAGATATGCAATTCTAGGTCCTGGGGCAGAGAGCGGACTCGTTCTGGGTTCCGCACCCCATCTCAAGCGTAGAACAAGGCTCTTCAAACTTGGCAAGTTGAAGACTTGTGGACTTCAACTCCCAGAATTCCTGAGCTAACATGACTGGAGGAGGAGGAATTCTGGGAGTTGAAGTCCACAAGTCTTAAGAGCTGTCAATTCCTCGGGAAAGGCTAAAAGCGACACTCCTGAAGGACACTAAACCCTTAGCTTCAAAACTGATGGTAGACACTATGGAACAGGGGTCTCCAACCGTGGCCACTTTAAGACTTGTGGACTTCCACTCCCAGAATTCCCCAGCCATCCCTTGTGGACTTCTGGGAGAATTCTGGGAGTGGAAGTCCACAAGAATTCTGGGAGTGGAAGTCCACAAGTCTTAAAGTGGCCAAGGTTGGAGACCCCTGTTCCATAGAATCATAGAATCCTAGGACTGGGAGGGACCTTGGAGGTCTTCTAGTCCAACCCCCTGCTCAAGGCAGGAGAACTCACACGGTTCTCCAATCTTTTCTTGAAAACCTCCAGGGATTTTAAAAGGGCCACCAACACTGACCCTCTTCTCTGCCATCTCTTTCTCCACCTGCAGCTTCCGGCTTCTCTCAATCCAGGCCGCCGTATCGTCCAGCCAGGGGTCATCTTCACCCAGCGATTTGATTTTCCTAAAGACAGAGAAATACTAGCCGCTTATGGAAAGTTCTGCTCCGGACCCCGAGATGCCCAAGGAAGACAGAATTTAAGAAAACAGATCTGGATAAGAAACAACATATATATATGTCTTTTGTTGTTGTTTCCTCCCTTGTCAGACCCAGCCTGGGACAAAGGAGGAAACAACGACAACAGATGAGCCTCCTTTGACCAACATGACTGAAGCAAAAATAGGGTTAATTAGAGGTGGAGGCCTATTACCCAGGCAATGATATAGAATGGTATAAATCTCTGTAACAGTAGCTTAATACTCTGACGATGTCAGCAGACGCTGATGAAAGCTTAATGAGTATAATAAATATAATTTTAGTTCTGGAGAGATGTCTGTTTCTTCTTTTACAAGCATACCTGGAACTAATATTTTTAGAATAGATTGTAATATATATGTATGTATGTATATATATGTAAGTATATATATATATGTATATGTGTGTGTGTGTGTGTGTGTGTGTGTGTTATTCAGCTTTGTTCGGGTATTTTCCCACGTCATTATAGTTGTGCTTTTAAAGTTGTAGCAACGTTTCGGCAGAATCTCATCTGCCATCATCAGATATACACACACATACACACAGATTTAACAGATAATCAGAGTTGGAAGGGACCTTGTAGGTCATCTAGTCCAGTGATCCCCAACCTTTTTGACGCCGCGGCCCGGTACCGGCATCAGCTGGGTGCCGCCATCTTTTTTTGATGAAAACGTGCTTCCGGTGAGCTTTCTACCCGGAAAAGCTCACCGGAAGCGCTGGCGCCATTTTTTTTTATGAAAACGTGCTTCCGGTGAGCTTTCTACCCGGAAAAGCTCACCGGAAGCACTTTTTCATCAAAAAAAGATGGCGGCGCCCAGCAAGCCGCGGCCCGGTAGGAGTTGTTCCGCGGACCGGGACCAGTCCGTGGACCGGTGGTTGGGGACCCCTGATCTAGTCCAACCCCCCGCCCAAGTGGGAGACCCTACACCATTTCTGACAAATGGCAGTCCAATCTCTTCTTCAAAGTCTCAAGTGATGGCA